AAAAAAAAAATTAAATGGTAAGTGTATCCTAATATATAGGATATTGTTAGAATCAACCGATTTTTGCTGATACAATCCCATAAAATATCCGAAAGTATATGATACTACCTCCTATTTTTAATATATGTCATTTTGAGAAGTTGCACACTAAGTAAGAATAATTTTTTTGCCAATAATAACCTTATTTAATGAAGATAGAGATGAGTATTTGAGAAAAAAGTGAGTAGTGAATATGAAAAGACGTAATTTATTTATTGGCTAAATGAGAGTAATAATAGAAAAATATGTACACTATATCCAAAACAACATTTATTTATAAAATAGTTGAAAAAGCTATAATGACATTAAAAAAAAATAGGAGGGAATATTATTTTCTTTTCGATATCATTTTAAGTTTAGTTTATGTGTTATATGCTCCTCACGTATTTGCTGTATACGAAAACATAATATATACATAACATATCCTGAAAACATATAAGTCCGGAAAAAAATTACGAAATAAATCTACATATAAGTCCAAAAAAAATATACGAACTAAACATGGTAATTTTATCTCTTTGTAATCCTTTTATGTTATTTACATCTTGTGTTTTTTCTGTATATTTATAATATATTTTCTGGTTTAATACATACAAAATACACGATATGACTTATATACAGAAGATATACTCATTATATACATACTATATACAAACGATATAAATAAAATACACAACATATATACATAAGATAAATTAAATCTTATCATTATATACATATGATAAATCAAATATATTAAAGATTTTGTTTTTATTTATTTACTTAAAGTTCCTAATATCTATTGTTAATAACATATGGTATATGTGACATATATTTATTACCCTATGTATTATGGAATCATTCATCATAATAATAAAAGAAGGGAGCAATTTTTATATTTGTTAATAAAAAATAATAAGTGGACAAAAAACAGAAAAAAAGAAAGGGAGTGGACCAACATAAAAAACACGTATTTACAAAATACGTTTTCTGTATAATTTAATTAAATAACGTATTCAGTGAATACGTTTTTTACATTTTTTACAAAGGAAAACGTATTCACGGAATACGTTTTCCAAATATTTTTTTCAAAACCCGTATTCAAGGAATACGTGCTTTTTATTCATTTCCACCTCTTTTTTTTCTTTTTTTTTTTT